CTAGCATTTGAAATGCCACATTTATCATCAATTTATCAGTATAGATCAATGTTTCCCAGTGTTCATTAATTAATATGTTGTACATCCATACTAGGAAAAATAAACATGAAAAACTTTTGTGGAATAAAAAATTTACTTTGTCTTAGTGATGGAGGCACTTGCTCCTTCCTTATCCCTAAAAAGGCATGATTTTTACCTTATAGGTACAGACATACTATCTGGTAAAAAGAATGCAATGTTTTTCTTTTTTATGGTGTTGGGGATCAAACCAAGGTTCTTGCACATACTATCAATGAGCCATACCCCAGCCCTGAACACAATTTCTAAAAATGCAAGTATCACAGATGGGCAGAGCAGTGTGTGCTTATTATCCCAACTTTTTGGGAGACGAAGGTGGGAGGATCATTTAAGCCCAGAAGCTCAAGACCAGCCTATTTAAAAAGACAAAAAAATAGTATCAAAATTTTATACTGAGTGAAGATTAACTGAGGCCCAGAGGAGGAAAAGGTAAAAGTCAGTGAGGCAGTCAGAGAGAGCTTCAAGAAGGAGGTGGGGCTTGAGCTGGTAAGGGAGGATAAGCTTAGCAAAGTGGAAATTAGGAAAGCAACATTTAAGAGACAAACAGATTTGTAAAAGATGTGTTTAGGGTCATTGAAGACAGAGCCACATAGCTGGAGTCATGGGTCTGTGGCTAGGCAGCAAGAGGTAAGGCTGGAAAGGCAAGTGGAACATAAACCGGATGCTCAGTCATTGTAAAATGGGGTCAAAGCTTGTTTCTACTGCACAGATCAAAGTGAGTAATTGATGTTGAATGTCTGGTACTATGTTAGCACACAGCAAAAGTGCAGTGAATGTTATATTTAAAAAAGAAGAAACAGACTGGCTTTGACTTTTATTCATTTTGTAAAAGACTGACAAAATGACCCCCTGCTTCTCAGTGTTCACAAATTCTTGTTCTATGTAAAGGATGGTTATTGTTTCATTAAGGTATGTTTACTTAGGGGGTAATCTGGCAGCTAAGACCACTTTCCCATTAAGTGATGGGTTCTAAAAGAAGTCATCCAAAGCCTAAAAGGTAGGAGCCCTTCACTTGCATCTTACTGGGTATAACTCAGCCAGCTGTTCCAGTATGAACTGGAGCATCCCTCAGACTTAACATGGGAATTAAGGGAAAAAAATCCTGGCAGGGGATTATGGGCCATTTAATCTGTTCAAAGAAGATCCTTTCATTTTACTAAGGCAGGTGGTTTCTAAAGTAGTTAGCTGGATGAGAAGGGCCTTCTAACACAGGTATTAGAAGGCCACCTCGTGGCAGAGCTGGCAAGAGACTGGGGGAAATAAATCCTGAGAAGACACCAAGTTACGGGAGTGAAAGCGGTAGTCCCCCTTTAGAATCCAATCACCTCACAGCTTTGAGATTTCAGGCTAGTTCCTAACCTCTGGGCCCCCCTTTCCTCATCTGTAAATTGTATAATATCAATCTTACATACTTCTTAGAATTCAGTATAATGAAGGAAATGTCTACCACATCATTATGAACATTTTTATTACTCAAAAAGCCTTAATGAATTATATAAAAATAACATACATATCATTTAGGGGGTGTCAAAACTGCACCAAATGTTTGGCTCACTTACTCATCACAATTCCCATTTTAGAGAGGCAAATTAGGCTCAGAGGTTATGTTGCACGTCTCTGTCCTCCGTAGAGCTGAGATCTATCTGGAAGCAGCTCTGCCTTGTGGTAGTCTGCTTTGTTGCCTTCCAAAGCCCTGCCTGTTACAATATCAGCCAGCCAGTTAGATACCTGTACTTGGTAAGCCTCCCCTCTGTTTTTAAATTAAAAACAAACAAACAAAACAAAAACAAAAAACAAAACAAAACATAACAACCAAGTCGGTTCGGAAGCACATGCCTATAATCCTAGCTACTTGGGAGCCTGAGGCAGGAGGATCATGAGTTCAAGGCCAGCCTGGACAATTACAGTAAGATTGTTTCAAAATAAAAGCTGGGGATATAGATCAGTGGCAAAGTCCCCTGTTCAATCCCCAGTACCAAAAATAAAATAAAATAAAAAATTAAAATATACCAGCTATCTCACTTGATATCCTGAGAGGATACCAAGTTATGGGAGTGAAAGCAACTTATGTTAAGCACAATTAAAAGGAATTTAAGATCGTATGGGAGAAGAAGGGGTTCCTGTACATACCTGGAAACCTGAGGATGGAAAAATAGCAAATCAAATTAAACTAGCATTGTTCATCTGAACAAAGAGGCTTTCCTCTTACTCTAGAAGGAAATCTCTAGATGTAGAAAGGGGTTTCACCTTTGATTTTGGTAAGCTATATTGCTACAGAGCTGTTACCACTGCAACTGCAATATAAACAGGTTCCACATCTGTATCTCTCAGGATCAAAGGTTTTTCAAAACTCAGATGTTTTGAGATTTGATAGAACTGATCTCAAAATACATATACTGTAGATTAGGTATCCCAGGGGAGTCTGGGCAGCCCTAGTAACCAAACACATCAATGTTTCTGGTATGAAATCTCTGAATATTGACATCAGTGGGATAAAAAAAATCAGAGATAGCCTCACTTTAGTTCGGATTACGTTTTTGTCACCAAATGAGTTTTAGTGGCAAACTGATAAAAACTTGTTCCCAGAGTGTTTCTGAGGTTCAGAATTGTGTGTAAGGGAGTATGTACTTGTTGATAACAATAGGAACAACCACTACCAGCATCTACCAAGTGCTTATCATGTACCAGGCATTCTAATTATGCATTATGTTGATTGATTCTCAAAATATACGTCACAGCCTGAATATGAATGTGGGCGTAATCACTATATAATTCCATAATGTATAACACAAGACACTACATAATTAGGCTGCTTGGATTACAATCCCTGTTCTACAAGTGAATAGCTGTATAAGTCTGGAAAATGATTTAACTTCTCTGTGCCTAGTTTCCTCATCAGGAAAGTGGGGTAAAATATCCATACTTATTACCTTGTAGAGTTATTGTGAGGATTAAATCAGTTGAGAAATATAGGGTACACAGTAAAGGTTGTTATTTTAATTCTGCTCATTGGCAAACTAAGCCTCAGGACAACTTAATAACTGAATACACAGCTATTAAGTGTGCAGCTGGGGATTTGAACTCAGGCAATCCAACTTCAAAGCCTACCTTCTATTCTATTTTTGTGCTAAACACAACCAGTCAAGAAACAAAGTAGCTACTAAACTGCAAAGATGTGAAATTCGAAGAGTAGTTGCTGTTTTGGGAATGCCAGGCTCTTTAGACAATGGTATTTCAGTAATGTAAAGGCACAAACCATCTCCACACGCCAACCTTGTCAGTTGCCTCCCTAGGTTCAACTGACCAAATAACTAGCTTGTTTCCCAGCTACTAGTTGGCCTTCACTTCTGATGACCATCACTCATGACCTTGTTACCCACGAGGCTGACTCACCATCGGGGCCCTGGCGGGCAGCAGCGTGCAGCGCCGTGTCCCCATGGCGGTCCTGGTGGGCAGGGTCAGCCCCAAGGCGAAGCAGCAGGCACAAGGCAGGAGCATCATGGCGGGCACAGGCCCGATGCAGTGGTGGGGGCTGCCCAGCATCCACATCAAGGCCTGGGTGTCGCTGGAGAAGGGCCTGGGCCCGGACCAGCCGTCCTGCAGACAAGTAACGACGGAAGCGACGCTCTCTGCGTTGACGGCGGGAAGTGGAGGCCATGGAACTCTTGGGCTAAGAAGGGAAGAAAGGCAGCAGTCAGGACTCCAGCCTTGGCTGGTCCCTCCCCCTCCATCTCAGACATTCCCTCCTTTCTCCTTTTAGTTCCCTGTTTCTTTTCACAACTCCAGTAAAAAATGAGGCCTATTGTACTCTTATCCTTTACCAGATTATAGGTTCGAAAAAATTTTTGAGTGGGGTTAGGGTCACAGATTTAATTTTTTTTACGTAAAATTTGAGAAAAAGATGCATAATTAATTGCTTTAAGGTTCAAAAGCCCAGGTAAAAATTTGTTTATAATTGATTTTGAAAAAACGAATAGGGCCTGATGGTGGAAATTTTATCAGGAGAAACTTGAATTTAAAAGTCACAATTTCCAATAATGATCTAGAAATTGAATATAATGTACCCGGCAAACAGATGTAGAGGCTTCTTCCTCTGGGACCTGGGGGGAGGGGTTATTCATCAGACCAGCCCCCCCCCCGCCCCCCAAGTACCCCCAGAGCTGTAGGCCCGAGGCCTGTGTTTAAGACGCTCCGAGAAGGGAGGCGGGAAGGGCGGAGACACTCCAGGCTGGCGGAAATGGCGCAAGCACAGACGAAGGTTTAGGGCGGAAATGAAGTGTAAGGCGCATTGTCGGAAGTCGTTCTGCCCCGAACCGGTAGTTACTCGGTTATGCCTCCGGAGGGAACTGGAACTTAAGACAAAGGTTCCTCCATAAACCGGAAGACAGGATGAGAAGCCGAGGCGAAGGCGGGGTAAAAAAGGAGGGCTACCCTGTCCTCACTCAACTGGGAGGAGAAAGGGCATGGTTCGGTGATGGATGGAAAGATAAAAAGATAAAGAAAAGAGGGGAGGTAAAGATAAGATAAAAATCATAGTGAAAATGCAAAACCAAAACCACAATTAAACCCAGAACAGGGATAGATCAGTAGAGAAAAACGGACACGATAAGACATAAAAAGACAACGGTAACTGTAGCAAAGGCAAATGAGATAAGAGAGATCATTACAGAAATTTGGACTTTGGAAACATGTAGGAAAAGATGGAGATAGAGGGGAGAAAAAAGAGAAGTCCAGTACATCTCTTTTCCAGCACGCGTCACATGATAACATCCTTACCTTCTCATCTCATTTTCATTCCCTCTGTGCCTCTGAGACCACTGATCAAGTTCTCCTCCTCCCACCCAAATATTCCCAAATATTCCTCCCTTATCAGCCTCTATTCCCATCCCTAGACTTTGGTGACTGGAAAGATCTATACCTGTAGAGAAGTTAACCGGCAGGTTTGGACCTGGTCTCTGCTGCTCCCAAGCGGTCCTTTTGGGTACTGCCTGAGAGAGAGGTAGGAGAGGAGGACCATCATCAGTGGGAGGATCAGATTGGGGGAGACAACCAATGCAGGAGACTGAGTGAAAAGGGGAGCACTAAGACCCAGGGGTAGTGGAGGACTGCAGCAACGAGCTGGAGGAGGAGTAGCAGTAGGCATTGGGGGTGGGGGAAGCCATCTGATACCTTGGTCCCCTACGAAACAGCATCAGCTCTAAGGACGGAAATGGCCAGTCAGTCCCAGGGTATCCAGCAGCTCCTGCAAGCTGAGAAGCGGGCTGCTGAGAAGGTAGCAGATGCCAGAAAGAGTGAGTCGCCTCTCCCTTAGAAATCTGGAAGGAAAATAAGGATGGAGATTAGCAAACTCAAGGCTTTCAGGTCGAGAGAGCTGGGTGCTGAATGTTGGTTAGGAGGGAAGAAATCGGTGGGTATTAGAATCTAACACTTTTTGGCTGAGAGAAGGCCAAACAACTTTCTGGAAGGGATTGACCCCTAATATCACAGTTGGTGGGGGATCTATCCTACCCACTGTCTTTTCTTCTGCCTCCAGGAAAGGCTCGGAGGCTGAAGCAGGCAAAGGAAGAGGCACAGATGGAAGTGGAGCAGTACCGCAGAGAGCGAGAGCAGGAATTCCAGAGCAAGCAGCAGGCGGTGAGTTGTGCAGTGGGGGGAGTTTGGACAGCACCCACCCAGTTGCAAGTTGGTGGGAGCATGTTGTGAGGTGTGTACAAGTGACTAGGCAAGAAAATACGATGGTAGAGGGCTTAGGGGACTCTGGCAAGGCTCATAGTGTTGGTAAAGCTTTGAGATGATATGTAAGAGAGTCTGGCAGTTTGAAGGACATGAACAGCTTGGGGGCCAGGGGAATCTCCACAATCTGTGTGGGGTATGATAACATTTAGGGTGAGGGCAGAGTTTTATGGTCAGGGGTGGTGAGGTGGTGGGGACTTTACAATCCCTGTTTTAGGATGAGGTTGCATGTCTGTTCTTAGAGAACAGGGGATTGTGTTGATCTCTTTGATATCTGGCTATTTCTGTGGGATGGGGACAGTTTATGAAAAGGCCTTTCTTTTTGGCTTGCTCAGGATCTTCCTCTCCACATGCCTGGACCTTTCTCTCTTCTGCTTTTTTCTTTCTCTCCTCCACCCCTTTTCCCATCCCCCAGGCCATGGGCTCCCAGGGGAACCTGTCAGCTGAAGTGGAGCAGGCCACAAGGCGCCAGGTACAGGGCATGCAGAGCTCCCAGCAGAGAAACCGGGAGCGTGTCCTGGCTCAGCTTCTTGGCATGGTCTGCGATGTCAGGCCCCAGGTCCACCCCAACTACCGGATCACTGCCTAGGATCCACCATGGGGTCTGATTCCTCCAGCCAGTTCTCCTCCTCAAAGAAATCTCCCAAGTCAAATCACCTTCCCTTGCCTAGCATGCATAAGCCTTGGGTTCAATTCCTAGTGCCACCAAAAGAAAAAAAAAATCACCTCTCCATTCTTTGGAAAATCTGGGAACCAGAATCCAATATTCTCCTGTGAAACTTATAAATATTCTGCTCAAACCTGATTTTATTTATTTTTTCAATTTATGTTTTTTAATCCTCACTGGATCCTTGTAAGTAAGTCATTCCTTTCCTTCATGTGAAGTGTGGAACATGGAGAAGTAGGGACATGGAAAGCCCCGTAACTTCAGAAAATGGCAGATTTGAGTTCCTTTCTCAACCCTGCCACTTGTTGACCATGCAATTAGGACAGGCTACTTAATCTGGAATCCTCAATGTTCTCCTCTGTAAAAACTGAAATAATAATGCCTACCTTGTGAGATTGCTTCAACAATTAGGAATCATTCTGTTATCAAAACCTAAATACTGCTGTTTCCTGACTTCTGCCAGTGACTCTTTAATTTTACTCATTTTATTCTGTGTCCCTAATAATTCTCTGAAGAATTGTTCTTCTTACCTTTGCTTTCCCCAGAGACCTTATGGTCTCTGAAAAGAGTAAATGAACTGGGCCCAGTGGCATATGCTTGTAATCCTAGCTACTTGGGAAGCTGAAGCAAGAGGATTGTGAGTTCTGGGCCAACCTTGGCAACTTAGTGAGACCTGTCTCAAAAAAAAAAAAAAAAATTAAAAGGCTGGGGATGTAGCCTGGCAGCATAGAGACACTAAGTTCAATCCCCAGTATGCCCCCCCACCGCAAAAAATACTTAATTTAGCCCCTCTATTATGTTCCAGGTAGCTATGGCATCTCTCAGCTTCTCTTTTTGTATCACTTAAGATGGCCTTTCTCTTTATTGGATTCCCCTCTCTTTCTGTTTCCTCAAAGACTACCAGATGCTCACTGCTTCCTGAGATCTAAAGTGATATGTATCCCTCATATGCATGACTTTCCTTTGTGTATCCTTAACACCTTGCTCTCCCTTTGTAACAATAAGAAAGTGTCAATAAAATAACTAAGAGCAAATCAGTTGGTGAGTTGAGCAGCTTCCTTTTGCCTCACTCTCTTGTTCCTTTCAGTCACTCTCTTATTCCATGTGTACATATTCTCGAAACACCAAAAGAGCTGTCCTTCGAAACTTTCTGGAGAAAAATAAGCAAATGGTACTTCATTATTTCTCTAAAGTGCAGAGAAACACATGTGTTTCTTTGCTTTGGAGTCTGAGGATTAGAGACAACAACTGGAAGAGAAAAACTGGAGTGTAGGAACAAGCACTCTTTCCCCTTTTACTTTGTTTTGCACTCAAAGAGTTGACATTATATGTTTATGTGTTGTTTCCTCTGTTATGTAAACTCTGAGCACAGGGCTGTTCACTGCTGTGTCTCCAAGTCCTAGGATAGTAGTTGGCACAGGGTAGGCAGTTGATAAATACTGTGAAATAAATTAAATAATACTTAGGACTCAGAAAACTGCCCTTCTGTGATACCATCCTATGATTATTTCTCTTCACCACAGAGGATAAGCTTGCTTGTCAAGGCCTTGAACTAATGGGGTAATAATCTATACTGTGTTTATTAACAAGATTCTTTAAGCAGAGAGGCAGGATATGATAGAGAATTAGAGATGTTTACATCTTGGCTGTTACCTTAATAGATGTATTTTTTTAAAAATTTTTTAGTTGTAGTTGGACACAATATCTTTATTTCACTTATTTGTTTTTATGTGGTGCTGAATATTGAACCCAGGGTCTCACATGCGTGAGGCAAGCACTCCATTGCTGAGCCACAACCTAAGCCCCTACTAGATGGTTTGCTTTGAATATTTGATTTACTTCTCTATTTGCTTAGCTATAAAATGGGAATAATGGTAGCTACTTCTTAGGGTTAAATAAAGAGGGGGATGTCAAATGTTTTAGGAAAAAAAATCCAGGCTGAACAATAGGGCTGTTGGGGTGGGGCTAAAAAACATTCTGCTCTAATGAACAATATTAGAAAGCTTTACAACCAACCCTCAAGCCCTACTATTTATTTTTTTTTAACTGGCAGAATCTAGATCTTGTTTTTTTTTTTTTTTTT